ATAGCAAACTGCGGTTATTTTCTGCCATTGGGTAAGGTAGGGAGGTTGTATTCGACGTTGGTAGTAAGTGGGGGTTAAGTGTGATATCAAGTGCGACTGTGATGGGTGAAAGTCTGGGGGAAACACCCGATCCTGGGGTTATATTAGCCACTGCTAATTTGCAGTTGCTACATTTCGGGGCGAGATATGCAGAGGGCACGGATTTCATACCCGCGCCATTGATAGGACGGAACTGGGGTCAAGCAGTTTTTGGATATGAGTTTGCCAGTTTGACGATTTGGTTTCTTATTTGGATGCCTAGTACCAAAAGCCACCGAGTTTCACGCCCGAAGGGCCGAACCATTGATGATGGTGACTCCGTCTGTCCGCAGCACCATTTTTTGGGGGGGGGGAAGGGGCAGACCTAGGTAAGGTTGTGAGAGGTCCAAAACCGAGGGAGACAGGTGCAAGGGTGTGAGGAGGAAAAGAAAGGCAATTAATATCGAGGGGGTTAAAAATACCGAGAGACGCACATTTTGCGAGATGCACATTTCGCTCGCTTCTTACCTACCTGTCTTCAAACCGGGAGTTTGGGACAGTTTCTCTAAATGTACCTACCGACCGACCAAACCCGAAGAGGCAGACTATGCAAAGACGGAGAAAGTAGCCCCCTAGGTGGGCTTTGGCATTTGCCAGTTTGAGAAAACAAAGACGAATTAAGAAACTAGGCTGCCGACCTTTTGGAGAGTACCTGCACGTTGCCCTTGTCCAGATATTGTTTGATTTGGAGGAGGAAGTATGTATGCATATAATAACGGTAAGGTAGGTTTATTTAGCCAATCAATGACAAACACCAGACCCTTTCGGCCATGAGGGAGGGAAGCAGTCGGCGTCGGATAAACTTGAATAGGTAGACAGCTTATATCTTTTGGCATACCTAACTTTGGTGCTCAAGTACCTATAAGCAGCAGTCACTGGCGACGCAATGATGCATCGAAGGAGCTCGAGTATTGTTTTGGTGAGAACGTAAGTAGGTAAACAGTCAGACCCTCAATACCGCATGACAACTTCCTCGGAATGAAGCAAAGCAAAGAACGCTACATGGTATCCTTCTTCCAAGTATCACCACCACAAGTATATCACACAACTGAATGCTAAATAAACGTTACAGCCCTACCATTTTAACCCAACCCCCCGGCCGGATCCCATGGTAAGCACCAAGCCGGCAGCACCAGGCACAAACTCCGAGCCCGAACCCGGATACCTGTCTCGGCCGGGTTGGTCGGTTCTTGAAATTAACAAAGTTCTTTCTTCCACCTACCTGCCTTCACTTTCCGGAATTTTCAGGGTCCTGCCTCATTACCACCCTGGAAGATGCATACATACATGTATGGGCGATTGGAAAGAGGGTAAAAAGGCGAAAGTAACCTCTCGTGTCCCATTCTAGGTCCACCATGAATTTCCTAACGTAAGGACTTTGAGATCCTAGCTGTTTCACAGCTTGCCCAAATCACAACATCAACATCCCCCAGTACACATACATGCCTGCCCTGAAAACGGAGATATACTACTGCGGTATAGTTCAAGATGGCAATCGTCTAGCTCCTTCCCCCTTACCCTTGTCGCCCACCGAGAAAAGTGACATCCTCGGTACCTCACGGCAGAGTGGAAGCCCAAAAAGATCGTCACATCGCTCATCCCCCGGGGGGGGGGGGGGGGGAGGAATAGCTGTACACGATGCCCCTAAACGGGTCGGTTAGGCCCTGGGGGAAAAAAATC